GATTTTCACACTACCCCAAGTTCTGGAAAAGACCCACGTCAAGCAACTAGACACATTCCACCTATTCGTCGACTTTAAATACCGTCTACAGTCCAATCCGCTCAGAGGTGTTTAAAACCAAGTCTGCGTTCGGAATTCCTGCAAAATTAATACGGCAATGCAGGATAAGATTGAGTGGCACAAGATCAGCAGTTAAAGTCGAAAAGGACCTCCCGGAGCCCTTCAATACGGAACGAGGATTCAGACAAGGTGACAGTTGGTTGTGTGACCTGTTTACCATCCTGCTGGAAAACGTCATACGAGATGCAAATGTGAACAGAAATGTCAATCTGTACACAAAACTGCATATGTTACTCGCCTACGCTGACGACATCGACATATTCTGTCTAACATTGCGAACGGTAACAGCCACCTTTAAACGAATTGAGAAGAAGTCTGCCAAAGTAGGGCTGGCAGTAAATGCGAGAAGACCAAGCTGATGGTATGAATGACCAAGACGTCCAGTAGGCTCGGGCCAAGAGTGGAACGTGAACGGACCAAGAGTTGAACCTAGAAGCTGTAGTTCTAGGTTGTCAAAGATTTTATATACCTCGGTACCGCCATAAATAAAACTAATGACATCAGTTTTGAAACTCGGAAAAGGATGTTACAAGGACAACTCTCGCCAAACCAAACTCACACTCTACAAGACGCTGATACTACCCGTGATGTTGTATGGATCTGAAGTATGGGTACTTGCGTAAGCAGATAAGGCAGCCCTTGGGGAGTTTGAAGGAAAGATTATCCCAAAAGTCTATGGGCCAAACCGAATGAACTATTCCCGGACATCAAAGAAGTCAGACGTATAGAGATGCAGCAATTACGGTGGCTAGGTTATGTTGTGAGAATGGATGAGGATGACCCAGGTTAAAAGGCAGATAAAAGCGAGCCAACATATGGTTCCCGCAGGAATGGAAGACCACGAATTCGAAAGAAAGATCAAGTGGAAGACAACATTTCGGAACAGGGCCTTTCAAAATCTTTTTTAAGTTCGGCTTATGGAACAACTGTTCTGTCACATGTCATCTAAGTATGTAAGTATGTCAAAACATTAATATGTTTCGCACATTTTAAAAAATATAGTCCTCACTTTCCCCAAATCTGGGATGTCAAATTACAGCCATTTCGGTGGAAAAAGGTAAGTTGGGATGGAAAATGCGTCGAAATTATATATTAAGAGAGAACACGGTTAAATCGATCAAAAATAAGAAAATAAGTAAGCAGAGTAGTATAGTCGGACGGGGCCGACCATATGATATCCTGCCACGAAACACTAACATTCTGCGGATTTACACTCCGTGCCAGGGCAATATTTTCGATATTTGCACCCTCTTAATCGATTAGAGATCAACAACTACTGTTTCTTACACTGGCATATTTCCGGAATATTTTTTACGGGTTGAACATTTACACCATAAGATGAACATTTTACACAGAAAGGTCTTGGTTGATTTGAACCGTGGAGCATTGATCAGATTCCATGTATTGTGATTTTCGGTTTATTATTGTGGCCTATAAAAACGACTTGAAAAAAGACACATAAAAATTATAATTTTGGTCTATTTCAACCTCTAAATAACATTTGATCATCTCTGAAAATTGAAGGCGTCGTCCTTGACAATAAACGGGACTTCGTGTAAAATTTCAAATCGATCAGCGCGAAATATTAGATTGGGGAAAAAGAATTCCATTATTTTTTATGAACTATCGGACTTTATTTAACATGCTTCGGAATGCCCGATTTAGATATTCCGTTTTGACAAACCGTTTTGTTGAATGATTTGTTGCCATATTACAGGTAACTTCATAATGCCTCTCTCATTGAAGTCCTGCTCTCTATTGGCAAAAAGCTCTAGTAGTCGATTTCCACAATCCTCCCTTTTTTATCACTAAAGAAATTTTGAATGCAAGAAAAAAATGATGATCGCTTGGTGCCAAGTCCGGACTGTATGGCGAATACATTAAAACTTCCCATATAATTGACTGTTACAGTATCGGAATGATTAACACCATTCACAATTTTAGCTGATTGACTTGCATTTTCACCGCTGTCAAAGAAAAACTGTAAACTGTACCGATTTTTTTCTTTGTTCACTCCCATTTTTACCCTTCCAACGAGCATAAATCTGAAATTGTTTGATCGATACTTTACGAGAAATCTAGCAATACAGCCATCTGCCGAAAAAATAGTGTATTTCTTTTTCCCCAACCTAATATTAAATAATGTACTATATAATAATTATTGTAGCTATTAAAAATAAAATTTAAATTTTTTGATAATAAAACCCTAAAATCTACCTACATACATATGTATGTATTCATATATCACTTATATTTTTTTATAATTATAAACTGTAATTCCCTTATCTGATGATGGTGACAATGATTATGAGGACGCCGATGATTATAACGATGCACCATATTTAATAAATTTATCTACCACTGATGTTTATGACGTTAATTTAATGACTTTTTGCCAGAAAAAAATACACACACACACACACGCGCATAACTTAATTTATTACTACCATGTTGCTGTTGTTGTTTGTGTTTTTGTGTTGCTCATTTTGGCGACATAAAAATATACATCAGAGGATGCAGCAGCATCAGCAACAGCAAAAATCATCTACAACAGTTCACAAACACAAATGCATAATTTTTTTTATTTTGTTGTTGCCAACAAATAAATATAAATAAATGCTTCCAAGTTATTTATGAATAAATTATTAACATAAATAATATATTGTTGATGGGGATGAGATATATTGAGTGAGGGCACTTGTTTTTTTAATTTATTCTAAGAAAATAACATTTATAATTTTTTTAAAAATAATTTTTTCTTTATCGACTACTATTGCATATTTTTTTAAAGCATCTGTAGGAAAAATTTTGCAATTTTATTTAAATTATTTTCATGTTTATATATAAATATAGTCCTTCACTTCTTTGTACAAAACTAATAAATACACTTTCAGAAACCTCAAAATCGTAAAAAAATAATAATAAAACCAGTAAGGAAAGTAGTAAAGTCGGACTGGGCCGACTATATGATACCCTTCACCACTGGGGATACATATGTAGAATATGTATCCTAACAGACGTCGCCTTTTCTAAGAAACATTGACATGAAATTGAACGAATTTAAATATGCGATCTTTATCTATAAGTAAACCGACTAACATAAATTCCAACACATACCATTTTGCAACCTATTCTAAATTTTGTAAATAGATTTAAATCTGAACCAATTACAAGAAAACTTGACACACGAAATGTTATTTGATGTAACAGTACATATGTACAACATTGTATATGGAAGAATGTGCCAATATTTGGGTCTTTAGTGCACAATTTAAATTAAATCGGTCGAAAGTATACATTGAAGCTATATCTAAATCTAAACCGATTTTCACGAAACTTAGCACGCATCATTTTGGACCTAATTCAGAAACCTATGCCAAATTTCGTGCAAATCGAAAGATATATAGGCACGTTGGAGTCCCATTTACCTTAAATCGGACGAAACTATATATGGGAGCTATATCTAAATCTGAACCGATTTTCTCGAAACATAGCACACATCATTCTGGACCTAATTCAGTACTCTATGCCGAATTTCGTGCATATCGAAAGATATATAGGGACTTTGGTGCACCATTTACATAAAATCGGACGAAACTATATATGGGAGCTATAACTAAAACTGGACCGATTTTCCCTAAACTTGGCACACACCATTCTGGACCTAATTCAGTAGGCTATACCAAATTTCGTGCAAATCGAAAGATATATATATGGACTTTGGAGCCCCATTTACCTTAAATCGGACGAAACTATATATGGGAGCTATATCTATATCTGACCCGATTTTCTCGAAACTTAGCACACATCATTCTGGACCTAATTCAGTACTCTATGCCGAATTTCGTGCATATCGAAAGATATATAGGGACTTTGGTACACCATTTATCTTAAATCGGATGAAATCATATATGGGAGCTATATCTAAACCTGAACCGATTTTTCCCATTTTCAATAGGGTTCGTCCTTGGGTCAATTAAGTGACCTGTGCCAAATTTCATCCAAATCGGATCATAAATGCGACCTGTATTTTGTTAACAAAAATACATGGACGGACGGACGGACAGAGGGACATGCATAAATCGACTCAGAAAGTGATTCTATGCATATTCTCAAAGGGAACCATGGGTCTATCTCGATTATTTTTGCCTGTTACAAACATATGCACTAAGACATAATACCCTGTACCGCACTGTGGTGAAGGGTATAATATACACACATAAATCGAAATAAATATGTCGCACCACACACTTACACACATCACTGAAATCTCCATCACCCAAACCTTATTAATTTTTTTCTCCAATAAAACTTTGAAAAAAAAATAAACAGGCAACAAAATAGCAAAAAAGTATCCCGCCACCTAAAAAAACCAACAAACTAATCGTTTTTGTGTGCGGATTTTATGCGGCTTTTTGAGGTTCGATTTGTGGTGTCTGACAGTGGTATTTGATATGGCATTTTTGTCCAGATTTAACTGCAGCTGCAGTGTTTTTTTTTATTATGCCCACATAAACTTAATGTATAAAAATATGGCTCTAAATTACACACATACACTTAGCCAGCATTTAAATCAATTTGTTAATAATAATAATATTAAAATATAAATAAAAATTAACAACAACAAAGAAAAAAACGATAGAAAATTACAATATTAAAGAGAAGCTTCTATGAAAGCCATCCATGCAATTAAATGTTATGAGATTTGTTTGGTTTATAAGTTTGTTTTTTTTTTCATAGCTAATATTAGTTAAGTTTTTTTTTTTTTTTTTTAATTTTAGTAAATATTGTTAATTATAAAATTGTAAAGAGCAGTTGTTGTTTTTTTTATAGAATATTTAATTTTGCTGTTTTTTTTTAGTATTGTTGTTGCTACTTACTTTGACAATTGCCAATTGGTGGCATACGAAAACCAGACAGTGGATCCGTCGAGAAATGAAACGGTCTTTGGCCAAAGGCAAAATGGAACTGTTGCTGTTGTCCTAAAATAGATAACACTGTGTTTTGAATGCTTTTTTTATTGGCTGTCCTTAACTAAGTTGCAATGAGTTGGAATTTGTGGGTGTGTGTGTTTGTATTAATGTGTTCTTTTATGTAAAGAAGATTTTGTTAATAATTTAATTTTTAATAATTCACAAGATTTTAATTCCCCGAAAAATCGATACAATATTTTTTTTTCGAATAGATCATTAAAATTTCTTACTGGATAGACGGCATTGAAAAATACAGCCCCTATATATAAGAGGGGTCAGCTAGTTTTGGTATTTTAAAGTCGTTCAATACCGAACGAGGATTCAGACAAGATGACCGTTTGTCGTGTGACCTCTTCAAAATTTTGCTGGAAAAGGTCATACGAGACCTTTGACACTCTGTACACGAACTACATAAAGGGTCGAACATTGCGAGCAGTAACAGTCACCTTTGAACGAATAGAGAAGGAGTTGGTTTAAGGGAACCATAAATCGGCTATATCATCAAGAGTTCTTGAGATGTTCACTTGAAATTTTGTAGGGACATTCTAGAATTAGAGTAGATTCGAATTAATAAAAATAATTTTGACACCGAAAATTGGGGGGGGGTCCCCTTCAGTGGGACACCGAAAATAGGGGGACCCTGCCAGTGGCACTGGCAGTAAATGACGAGAAGACCAAGCTGATGGTATCAACGCGCAAGACGTCCAGAAGACTCGGCCCAACTGTGGAACTTGAGAACTACAGCTTCGAGGTAGTTAAAGACTTTATATACCTCGGCACCGCCATAAATAAAACGAATGACATCAGTTTTGAAATCCGGAGAAGGATTGTGATGGTCAACAGATGCTAATATGGTCTGAGTAAGCAACTCAAAAGCAAAGCCAACTCTCGCCAGACCAAACTCACACTCTACAAGACGCTGATATTGCCCGTGTTGTTTTATGGATCTGAAGCATGGGTAATTGCGCAAGTAGATGAGGCAGCTCTTGGAGTGTTTGAGAGATAATCCCTCCCAAAGATCTAAGGACCGATATGCGTCGTCGGTGAATATCGCCGTCGAAAATACAATTTATTCTCAGTAATCGACATAGTCAGATGGACCAAGCTGCAGCGACTACGTTGGCTAGGCCATCTTGTGAGAATAGATGAGGATGCCCCAGCTCAAAAGGCATATAAAAGCGAGCCAAGTGATGGTTCACGCAGAAGGGGAAGGCAACATCTCGGAAAATGGTCTTTCAAATTGGATGAGATGCGCACAAGACCGAAGCGGCTCGGTTATTGGAAAAACCGTTCGGTCATAAGCCAGCTAATAAGATTTTCGATGCAGGCCCATATAAATGAATATCCAAAATTAAAAAATATAAAAATCAACAAAAAGACGTGTTTTATACCCTTAACCACACTGTGGTACAGGGTGTTATGTTTTTGTGCATATGTTTGTAACAGGCAAAAGGAAACGAGATAGACGCATGGTTCCTTTTGAGAATATGCATAGAATCACTTTCTGAGTCGATTTATGCATGTCCTTCAGTCCGTTTGTCTGACCATGTTAAAAAGTAAACAAAGTACAGGTCACATTTATGATCCGAATTGGAAGAAATTTGACACAGCTCATTTACTTGGCCCAAGGACGAACTCTATTGAAATTGGGAAAATCGGTTCAGATATAGCTCCTATATATATTTTCGTCTGATGTTATGTAAATGGTGTACTAAAATGTTATATATCCTTCGATTTGCACGAAATTTGGCACAGCGAAATGAATTATGTCTAGAACGATGTGTGTTAAGTTTCGTGAAAATCGGTTCAAATTTAGATATAGCTCCAATATATATTTTTTGGTCCAATTTTATGTAAATGGTGTATTTAAACCCCTATATATCTTTCGATTTGCACGAAATTTGGCACAGCATACTGAAATGAGTTTAGAATGATGTGTGCTAAGTTTCGTGAAAATCGGTTCAGATTTACATATAGCTCCCCTATATATTTTCGTCCGATTTAATGTAAATGGTGAACCAAAGTCCCTATATATCTCTCGATTTGCACGAAATTTGGCACAGTGTACTGAATTGAGTCTAGAATGATGTGTTTTAAGTTTCGTTAAAATCGGTTCAGATTCAGATATAGCTCCCATATATATTTTCGTCCGATTTTATGTAAATGGCACAACAAAGCACCTATGTATCGTTCGATTTACACGAAATTTGGCATCTGATACTGATTTTTGTCTAGAATGATGTGTGCTAAGTTTCGTGAAAATCGGTTCAGATTTAGATATAGCTCCCATATATAGTTTCGTCCGATTTAAGGTAAATGGCGTACCAAAGCCCCTATATATCCTACGATTTGCACGAAATTTGGCATAGCGAACTGAATTGTGTGTAGAATGATGTGTGCCAAGTTTCGACAAAATCGGTTCAGCTTCGAATATAGTTCCCATATATATTTTCGTACAAAAAAGTCCCTATATATCCTTCGATTTGCATGAAATTTAGCATAGCTTACTGAATCGAGTCTATAATGGTGTATGTTGAGTTTCGTGAAAATCAGTTCAAATTTAGATCTAGCTCCCATATATATTTTCGTCCGATTTTATGTAAATGGTGTACAAAAACCCCTATATTTTCTTTCGATTTGCATGAAGTTTGACAATTCGTTCTGAATTGTGTCAAATTGAGACTAGATTGACGTTATTGCGTTCTGTTGAAATTGGTGCAGATACAGACATAGCTTCCACATATAGATTAGGTTGGACTTTATTTAACATGCATCAGAATGTCCGATTTGGGCCAAATATGCACCGTTTTGTTGCCATTTTAAAGATAACTTCATAATGGCTCTCCTGCTCACTATTTTTGTCCCAAGATACCAATTGTTTTTATCATTAAAGAAATTTTGCAATTCAAGAAAAAAATGGATAGTCGCTTGGTGCCAAGTCCGGACTGTATGGCGAATGCATTAAAGTTCCCCAACCAAGCTCCCGAAGTTTCTGGCGAGTCATTGTAGATGTGTGTGGCCTTGCGTTGTCCTAGTGGAACACGACACCTGTCCTGTTGGCCAATTCAGGCCGTTTCTGGTTAGTTTGCTATCTTCAAAAGGTCCAGTTTTTGACAGTAGAGATCAGAATTTAGCGTTTGACCATATGGAAGCAACTCATAATAAGTAATCCCTTTCAGTCGCATCAAATGCATAGCAGAACCTTCCTAGCCGTTAGTCCTTATTTGGCCACCGTTTTGAGGTACTTCACCGCTCTTTGAACACAATATTTTCGCACAGTGTTATCGCATGTGATCCATTTCTCATCTCCAGTCACCATCCGTTTTAGAAATGGGTCTATCTCATTCCGTTTGGCCTAGGCTACGCAGTTGAAAATTCAATCCATCCTATTTTTTCTGTTAATTGGTGTGGCGCCCAAACATCGAGCTTCTTTATCAATCCAGCTTAGTGTAAATGGTTTAAAACAGTTTTATGGTCGATTTTTAGCTCCTGGGCTATGTTACGACTGCTAACATGCCGGTCAACTTCGATCATTTCTCCGATTTATACACATTTTGACGACCGGCCTAATGGACATCTTTTGAGTATTACTATTGCTTGTTGAGTATTACTATTACCACACAAGAGGGCGGAAGTGTCGTGCTGATCGCTTTGAAATTTTATATGAAGTTCCGTTTAGGGTCAAGGACGACGCCTATACATTTCGATAGTATTTAGGGGGTGCAATGAATCGAAAACTTTATTTTTGTCAGACTTTCTAGTTGCTGCAGAGGTCATTATTAAACGCAGAATATCACATATTTCACACAGTGAGGGGGATCTGACCAAAATACTTAGAACGAAATTTTAGATGATGATCGATCAATATTCCAACCAAAACCCAAGATGACCAAATTTGTTTTTTATGACGTAAATATTCACCTCTGGAAAACAAGATTTGGAAAATGAGTCAGGGTTAGAAAGTGGATGTGTTGAACTATAATTGGTCAAGAGGGTGGAAATAATAATATAGCGATATATTCCGCAGGCTCCGAATATGAACCGCAAAAAATTATATTTTCGTGATAGTTATTTAGGGTATAAATGGTCGGCCCAGTCTGACTATATTGCTCCGCTCACTTGTTTTACAATAATCCATTAAACTTTCTTCCTATATAGACGACACTCAAAAAGACAGCCCTCATATAAGAAGCGCCAGCTCAGTTTTGGTATTTTGAAGGTTTTTGGCCTCGAAGTGGCTGTAATTAGTCAAAGTAACTTATTTCAAGAATATGTTCCTGAAATGCCTCATGCAATTTCCCCCATTAATATTCATCTTGCCTAATTTAAACAATGTATTTCTATTTTGAAAGTTTTAGTCGAATTTCTCCATTGCAGAAGATTTTCGATACTGGCCCCATATAAATGAGTACCCAAAATATAAAAAAATAAAACAAACAAAAAAGAGTTTCGAGTAATCGATTTAAATTTATTTATTCATTATACCCTACACAACTATGTTGTCAGGGTATTATAGCTTTGTGCAGCCCCAAGAGTTTGTAACGCCGCGAAATATTGGCCCTAGACCCACCTTTAAGTGTACCAATCGTCATATCTCGATTAGCTGAGTGGATCTAGAAATATGTGTCCGTCCGTCCGTCCGCCCGTTCGTCCGTTTGTCCATTATATTTTGTAAACACGATACAGGCCACAGTTATGGGACAATCTTCACGTAATTTTGCATGTAGAATAGGTTCAGCCCAATAAAGACCCCTATTGGTGAAGATCGCTTAATATTTAGGGGATGAAATGTGCCACATACTTAATTTTTGTCGGTTTTTCTGGTAGCTCCAGAGGCCGCAATTATGGCCCAAACATAGCGAATTTTTACATGGAGAAGGTGCCAAGTCCGGACTGTATGGCGGGCCAAAGAATAAGCATGCCTGTTTTTATAAAGACCGGTCAGTATTTAGCGGGTCAAATGGACCCTGACTTTTGTGTGAAAAATTACAACATTTGTATTCTATGGCGTATATATTTACCCCTGGAGGACATAGACCGAGAAGATGATAATATATACAAGAGGAGTGGTTGACCTTTAAATTGATATCAATTATATTGTCGTATGTACTCGGATGTAGGAGTTACACGTAAATATTTACAGGTGCTTACGTATTCAGATATTATTTAATAAACCATTACCACACTAGAGGGCGAAATATAGCGCTGATCCCTTTGAAATGTTCAATGAGGTTCTAGTTATGGTCATGTACAACGCCTATAATTTTCGGTGATAATCAGATAATAATTTTGGGATGAAGTGGACCGAAAACTTATTTCTTGTGTTTTTTCGCGTCGATGCCTATAATAGGCCGAACATCACAACACAACCCACTGCGAAGGGAATCTGGACAATTAATTAGAAGGGCTGTACTGAAATGAGTTATATTCAGAAAATATGTCAGTGTAAGGAAGAGGTGCTGTTGACCTCTAATCGGGCTAGATTGAGCAAATATCACGAAATATTGCCCAGGCTCGTAATAAACATCCGCAGAAAGTTGGAGTTTCGAGGTAGTTGTGTAGGGTATCGCATGGTCGGCCCCGTCCGACTATACTGCTCCGCTCACTGGTTTTTCTAATGATTCGGTCTACAGTTTTTTCAGCTCTATTATCAAATATTCAGAAAATTCGTATTTCCGATCTAGAGAATGCCCATTTGAAAGTCCTAATATTAATATCGGTCCAATCCCTTTCATGTATACATTTTCAAAATTTTTAAAACTACATTTAACTACATCTACCTAACTCTTAATTATATATTTCGAAAACTTCATTACAACCAACACTGAATAGAAAACTTTTAAAATTAAAATAATAAAAAGAGAGCAATGGAAAAATAAAAAACCAGCAACAATAAGGACACAACTTAAACGAGATAAATCATTTTGTGGAAAGTCAAAGTAACAAAAATGAATAAAAAGACAATTGCATATCCAGCAAAGGACAATGGAGCACATTAGCAACAGTAGCCGAGTGGTGGTAGTGCTGGTGGTCGAGGAATCATCCTTGCAAAAGCCGAGTAGTCCTTTCATTAAAGAACAAAAAAAAAACAGTAATAAACCATCCTTTTTTTAGGAAAGTAAATAGTTTTATAGAAGACAAACGGTTTATGTATGTGTGTGTGTGTCTACATTCCACACACACACACACATTTGTGTAGAACTACCATTCAGAGTGTGTGTGTGTGGGTGTGCGTTTGCTCACAAGACAAGCTTAACATATGCAAAATGGAATATATTTGCATCTTTATAAATATTTCAAACTACAAAATGGACGTTTTGTCCTGCTCTCGTTTTTTTGCATTGTTAACTGTCCTCATTGTTGCTGTTGTCGTTATCGTACAACTTAGCCTGGCCACATTACCATTTGGGTGTGTGTGTGTATGCCTGTCCTTCGTCGTACATAGTTGTGGGTAAAGTAACCCCGTTTTTGTTTTTGCATCCGTTCGTTTGTCCATACGTCCGTCCATCCGTTTCATTTCATTTTACTCTAATGTTATTTAGCATTAATGAATATTCCTTTGAAAGATGAATTGTTTTCTATGTGAATAGCATTGACAACGTCAACGTGTGCTGCAGTAAATCTTGGTTGCTGTTGGTAGTTGGAGCAACATCAACCAAAACTCCACATAGACAAACAAAATGTATAGAAAAGGGAAATAAAAGTTTTGTTTGTCTTTTTAGAGTCATAAACTATCTTTAGATTTGTAAATTGCGAGATGTGAAGATAGAAGAGGTGAGGTATTATTTTTTTTTTTGTTGGGGATGCAGTTGTAAGACTGTCTAAGTTGTATGTACAGTGGAATAATAGGTCTTACATGTTGGCTCAAATTTACTTTTTTGGTTTATCTCAGAAAATTATGAACATTCAACTGCATGTAGCCGATACGATTTTAATTACAATGGTATTATGGTTCTGGAAGCAAGTACATGCTAGGGAAGGTATGGAGTTTCAAAATACTCCGAAAACTCCACATTTTTACTAACACAAATTTGGGACACCAATCTTCTTATGATGCCTTGGACTAGACATATGGTAAAACAGAACCATCCGAGCCGAGCAATATAAATAAACCATATTGAAACCCGTATTTTAGAACGGTGCCGATCATATGATACCCTACACAACTACCAATGCACTTCAAAATGTCTGCGAAAAAGTGTCACTATAAAATCGGCTCTCTTATATAGAAGTTCATCACATTCAGGTCTAGATCATCTAACAAGCAGACAAATGTAATCTTTTCGTCCAATTGATCTCCGATTTTGGCCCGAATCGGATCTACATTTCGTGGCAGTTGCTTCATAACTAAAATAACAATTTTTACTTTTCATCTACAAGAATCCAGAATTTCAAATTCCAGTCTTTATTTAGGGGCTCTATCAAAAAAAGGTACCACTATATATCATTTTCAATAGAATCAATATTTTAACAGACCAAAGGGCATATATAAGTCGGCCTAGAATTATATTCTGTTTAAGAATATATAAACTGTATGAGGCCTCGAATAATATAAACTCCATCTCCATGGAAGATGTTAAAAAAAGTAGACGCATATTCGAAAATTTAGAACCTCATTTAACTTCTGAAATAATATTATTTTATTCAGGAACAAACATCGGTGAAAATTTCAACATTATCATTGAGTTGTCCCTAAAGCAAATGATTTAAAAATTGTTTTTTTTTTAATATTAGCTGTTCTAAATTTTCCGACGGCTACATACTGTATTAACTCCTAAATATCATACTTAATCCATTTATTTATATTATGATTTGTTTCCCATGACAAGACCTGACAATCTTAACCTTTTTGGTATACCCCGATTTTATAACCCTTGTTCGTAATGCCGAATTTGACAATAGTTCCTTGGAAATGCAAATTTATTCCCCACGAACTCTATGTTTGGTAGTCCCAACAATTGCCTTGATAATATAATAATTTGACTGTCCCCTCCGGCCCACTGTCCATCACATTAAATTATGCATGAGTGTATGTATTTTTTCTCTTTTTATCTCACCAACAAATGAATCTAATGAATTGTGCATTTTATTTAAATATTTCCAAGTTGAACAGCAGCAGAAAAATTAAATCTCGTTCTCTTGTCTATAGTTTAAGGATTTATGAGATTTTCGCAACTACCCTGTACTCCTCATGTATTTATTAACAAAGTCGTCTGTTTTGTAAGACTTCATTTCATTATAGATTGTGTGTGTGTCTGTGTTCATTATGCAATGAATGAAAAATGGTATACATGTGAATTTGACAATACTTACTGGTTTTGGATCGTGGTTCTCGGGGTCCATCGACTGTAACTTTTATGGCCTTATTGTATGTGGCAATGTGTGGCGGATTTGTTGAAACGGTTATGGTTAGAGTGAAACTTTTCCCTGGAATAAAGACAATGAGAATTTATGAGTTAAAGGGAAATGGAAAATATATTTAATATAAAGTCGGACTGGGCCGACTATATGATATCCTTTACCACTTCGGGTATATTCTACATATGTATATTAACAGACGTTGCCTTTTCGAAGGAATACTAATTTCAGTACGCTGTGTCAATCAATTTATATTAAATAGGGAGAAAATATATATCGGAGCTATATCTAAATCTGAACCGATTTTCACGATACTTGGCACACTCCATTATCTACCTTTTTCAGTACCCTATGCCAAATTTCGTGTAAATCGAGAGATATATAGGGACGAAAGCATAAATGGGAGCTTTATCTAAATCTCAACCGATTTTCACGAAACTTAATGCACGTCATTCAAGACTCAATTCAGTACTCACATACAAAATTTCGTGCAAATCGAAATCGAAACTTAACGCACGTCATTCAAGACTCAATACAGTACACTATGCAAAATTTCGTTCAAATCGAAAGTTATATAGGGACTTTGGTGCAAAATATATGTGGGAGCTATATCTATATCTGGACCGATTTTCACAAAACTTTGCCCACATCATTCTCGACATCATTCACTATGCCGAATTTCATGCAAATCGAAGGATATATAGGGACTTTGGTGCACTATTTACCTTAAATCGGACGAAAATATATATGGGAGCTATATCTAAATCAGAACCGATTTTCTCGAAACTTGGCACACATCATTCTGCACATAATTCAGTACTCTATGCCGAATTTCATGAAAATCGAAAGATATATAGGTACTTTGGTGCCCCAATTACCTTAAACCGGACGAAAGTATATATGAGAGCTATATCGAAATCTGAACCGATTTTCTCGAAACTTAATGTACGGCATACAAGATTCAATTCAGTACACTATACAAAATTTCGTGCAAATCGAATCTTATATAGGGACTTCGAGGCACCATTTACATAAAATCGGAAGAAACTATATACGGGAGCTATATCGAAATCTGAACCGATGTTCACCAAACTTAGCACACATAATTCTGGACCCAATTCAATATCTTATGCCAAATTTCGTGCAAATCGAAAGATATATAGGGACTTTGGTGCACCATTTACATAAAATCGGACGAAATTATATATGAGAGCTATATCTAAATCTGAACCGATTTTCACAAAACTTTGCACACATCATTCTCGACATCATTCAGTACTCTATGCCGAATTTCATGAAAATCGAAAGATATATAGGGACTTTGGTGCCCCAATTACCTTAAACCGGACGAAAGTATATATGGGAGCAATATCTAAATCTGAACCGATTTTCTCGAAACTTAATGTACGTCATTCAAGACTCAATTCAGTAGACTATACAAAATTTCGTGCAAATCGAATATTATATAGGGACTTCGACATTTACATTGTTATATAATATTCGAACATCTAACATTTTCACGAAACAGCACATAATTCTGGACCCAATTCAGTATCCTATGCCAAATTTCGTGCCAATCGAATGATATATAGCGACATTGGTGCCCCATTTACCTTAAATCGGACGAAAATATAAATGAGAGCTATATCTAAATTTGACCCGATTTTCTTCAATTTCAATAGGGGTTCGTCCTTGGGCCAAATAAGTGACTTGTGTCGAATTTCATTAATATCGGATCATAAATGCGACCTGTACTTTGTTTACAATTTAGCATCTACTGCATAAATCGACTCAGAAAGTTCATCTATGTATATCAAACATATGCACAAAACCATAATACCCAGTACCACAATGTGGCAATTTTAGAAGCACCAACATAGGCGTGGATTTTAAAAAATATTTTTTAGAACCACCAACATAGGCGTACACTTTAAAAAAGCTCCCAAAATTAAAAAAAAATATTCTTCTCAAAATTCTCGAAAATATTCTAAATGAAGTTTAATTTTCGATGCCCTTAAAAAATTTCCGAATTTGTGTCTATTTGATTTTTTGAGTACCCATCTGGTTTGTTTGTGTACTTTGATTGGGGGCTGGGGTGGCCGAAACAAACCGCATCTGAACGCGTTTATTCAAATAAAGCAATTTTTCTTGTCGGCCTCTGATAGTCGTTGTCCAAATGCCACCATTAACCGCCAATGTTCGTTCGTTACGTTACGTTATAACGGCCAACAAACAAAGACCCATGGCGGGTTGTTTGCGAAATTGCATCGGTATTTGTGATACAAAAGCTGATGACGATGCTGATAAGGATACCAAAGCTGCCTTTGGCCAAAAATGAAATGGAATGGACTTTGTTTGTAGTTTATTTGCAGTATTACAAGCATTTATTTGGTAGTATCTGCCGAGGAGTTGCACACAATGTGCAAAAAAACATTCAGGGGCCACATAACGTTCTATGGGTTGATGTGTGTGTTTTGCTCTACAATTGTTTGTTTGTTATACAACATGACCATGGACCATCTTTTTTGGGTGTGTGTGTTTGGTTGTTAGAATATCCGTTCACCAAATCAATTCAATTGTTCAACATTTTGTTGATTTCAGTGTTTCAAATCCGCATCTCTGGGGAGGCTAAGGGGACAACATTCAAACCGAGAAAAACTACATCTATTCCATCCACACACACCATCATCCCGCATCTGATATGCGTTTTTGTTTTTGAATAACCGGGAATCAAATTCAGTTTAGTTTTACCAAAAACAAAACTCCTCCTCCTCTTTCTCCTCCAAGCGAACGACGAACAAATTGAATCTAACGAAAAAAATCACTGGTTATCTATTACATTTGGATCTGATGACTCTGGGGGCAAACTAGCGTGTAGGTTAGAGAATTGGAGGCTGGTTTTAACTATTATCAGCACTAAGGCCACAAACATTTTTGTGCACCATTTAGTGTGGTGGGTTTGGTGTCTCTTTTTTTTGTTGGGCTACGATATATTTTCTTTGAATTTAAGTGTGCGGGTGGGGTTATTGGACCAGCCGGGGAGTAGTTATTTTGGGGTAGTATGTGTGGACTTGGAATTAACGTGTATTTTATTTCCATTGTCGGTATTCTTTATGATGTCACATTGTGTGCACATGTGCTCTGCAATACGAATATGTGATTTATATCTCCCATGCCTTGAGATATTGAAAATGAATATGGGCGATATGTGGGAGAAATTAAGGTATAGACGAATTGGAAATTTATGGCACTAGAAAAGGAGACTTTAAATTATCCAGGACCCTGAAATTACAGAAAAGCGGACGGGATCTTTCTATGGGGACTATGTCATGAAATGGACTTATCAAATATTCTGTGAAAATTTTTAAAAACTCAGAATGCCAACCTCAGTTGGGAAAGCTGCCCCAGACCATCAATATATCTAAATTAGACGTGGGATGGGCTCATTTATTTGGCCCAAGAACGAAAAATTGTTTCAGATTTAGATATAGCTCCCATATATATTTTCGTAAGAATGGTGCACCAAAGTCCCTATATACCTTTCGAGTTGCAAAATTCGGCATAACTTACTGAATTGATCCTAGAGAGATGTCTGCCAAGTTTTGTATTGAGTCTGGAATGATGTGGGCTGAGTTTCGTAAAAATCGGTTCAGATCACCTCATGTTTATCAGATTGACATGCAATTTTGCACAACGTACACAATTGAGCATTGTGGTGAAGGGTATCATATAGTCGACCCCATCCGACTTTACTACTTTCCTTACTGGTTAAAATAATTTTTTGAGTCATTTCATTTTTAAAATTATTTTTTGAGGCATTTATTTGGGAATGGATATTTTAAAAAAATACAGGAGTGAAATTTTGAAAATTATTTTTTGAGGCATTAATATAGGCGTGGACTTTTTAGGATCATTTTTTGAGGCCGTAATCAAGGTTGGATTTTTAAAAATCATTTTTTTGAGCTTTTTAAAAATATTTTGTGAGGCATTTATATGGGTGTGGCCTTTTTAAAAATATTTTTTTTCGGCATTCTACAAATTTTTAGAAATGCCAACAAAGTCGTGATTCCTTTCAAAAATATTTCTAGAGAATTACGCATAGGAGTATTTTAGAAAAAAAAAAATATTTTGAGGAGTTGTTCCTCTGCATGTCATTCCTGATATATCTCTGCCTTTAAAAATATCCCTTCCGAACGTCATGTTTCAATTCTAACGAAGAAGATGCCATTTTCATTTGTCTCCTTCTATTTCCTTCATCCTAAGATATTTTCTTTTGATAAAAAGAAAAAAACACACACACACAAGTGGCTGGAAAAGTTCTTCCCCAACAGTAAATATTTAAACGGTGGTTAGACAAGAGACTACAAGAAAAGATTTATCGCTTTGGAGTTCAACCCTTTTTCTTTGCCAGAGGAAGAAAAAGTTTTTTTTTTATTTTGTGAAATTTAATTAACTCATTTAACGCTAACAAATACGTGTTTAACGTTCATGTGTGATTTTGGTGTCACAAACACATTCCCAAACAAAAGAGTTTTAATTAAAATAAAATTACCGTGGAAATTTAGTCTGTTTGTTGTTTTTTTTTCTTCTGTTAACAGATAATTAAGGACATACACAAAGGAGTATTTGTTATTTATTTATATTTGTTGAAAAAGGAAATAAATCACATGTGAAATTAACGATGGAAGTAAATAATTTTATACCAAGCAATGTAAATATGTAAGCAAGAGTCTGATTCGAAATCTTAAATCTTTTAAAATAAATATGTTACTAATGACTATTATGAGCTTTTAACCTTGTTCAAAGGTTTTTCGAATTTTAGGCCGGCTTTAGTTAATTTCTGTACTGTATTCCGACAATAGTGCTTCTCGACGAACAAACAAAAAATTGTTTTGCGAATAGTGTCTTCTATTTTTTTCACCTCCTCTATGATAATTTATTTGACATTATAGAATATCAACCAGTAAGGAAAGTAGTAAAGTCGGACTGGGCCGACTATATGATACCCTTCACCATTTTGGGTACATTCTAAATATGTATCCTAACAGACATCGCGTTTTTGTTATATA